AAATTAATATTGGCAATTTTAATATATTTAATTAGTAAATTGCCTCCAACATACTAGATTTAAATATAAATAGGGATACATTACATTCATCTCTAAATGAAAATAGAACCTGTCGACACTAAGTGTCTCCCTTGGAGAACTTGTATTCATATGAATGATATTGTACATTCTTAGTACTTCATCTTAGGTTATTATCTCATTACTGATTTTAATGTTGTCGAGTAGGTTAGAAGTATTCCGAGATGGAATGTGAGAGTAGCCACAATTGGTTTAGTATCTGCAATGATTTCCATAATTGAAATTAGGGTTGTTGTTGTTGTTGTTGTTTTTTTCCTTTTCAGTGTGGATCCAACTAGATTGCTTTTAACATTCAATGTTTCAGTTAACCTTGGTGACAAGTATCACAAAAACACTGCTCTGCACTGGGCAGTGCTAGCAGGGAATACCACAGTCATTAGTCTTCTTTTGGAAGCTGGAGCTAATGTGGATGCCCAGAATGTCAAGGTAAAAATATCCTACTTTGATTATGGAAATTGGGGGAAGTGAATTCTTCAGTAAAACATATTTCTTTGACATTCAAAGTTGGATAAAACTTCTTATGTTTCAACTATTTGTGCTCATGCAAAAATTTATTTTGAAAGACTAGATTTGTCTTTTTATCTTGCAGCATAGAAATATTTTTCAGATTTTAGTGAATTTTTTTTGTTTTTATAAGTTAAATTATATAATCGGTATTTTTGTAGATGTTGAGAATAGTTTCTGGTTTCTTCAAAAAAATTCTTATAGAGAATTGCAAGTCAAACTTGTAGTTAAAACACGTTTTGCATAATAGATTTTAATACTTCTTTGACTTGGTCATTTTATTGTCTTATTTTTTTAAAGGCCAAGATCTTTAAATTTGACAAATACCTCTAAGATTTCATAGAAGAACTCTCTCCTAAATCCTGGACTAATCCAGAAAAGGCATATCAAATTATCTAAAAATAAAGCATTATTAATATTTATATTCTGCACATTTAGGAATTTGCGTAGACATGAGTACAATTGCCCAGGTTGGTTCCAGGAACCCCTGTGGATACTGGAATCGTGGATGCTCAAGTCCCTTATGTAGAATGTCATAGCTTTTGTGTATAACTTACATACAGCTTCTTATATACTTTAAATCATCTCTAGACTTCTTACAGTACCTAGTAAAATGTAAGTGCTCTGTTAATAGCGTTCGATATTTCCTCTTAGTTTTTGAGGGATTGGTCTGATCATGTAGGGCTTGTAAAGAGCCTTCTCCCTCCCCAGTCCTCCACTCCAAAATTATCTCCATTCACCGTTGATTGAGTCTGTGGATGCAAACCCTATAGAAGGTCAACTGTACCTGTAAGAAGATTAGTTTCAGGTTTGGGTTAACTGTTCTCATTTTTAAAGCTTCAATATACAGATGCAGTTTATAAAGAATCTTTGGGAAATGACAGACTTGTAAACATCTTTTAATAATTTTCATTTATAAAATAACTTTGTATCCATTGGGAAGTATTCTTTAATCTTGGCTATAATCCATATAACTAATTTCTAAGTCATGTTTGTTAAAGATCTAAGGTATATGTGCTAAATAAATATGAAGGATGTTCCAGTCATATACTAATCTGAAATGGCTAATCAAAAAATAGGTTATCACCTGCTGGATCAGGGCATCTCTTATTTTTCAATGTGCACACTCTTTTCTATTTGGATATTTTAAGAAGAGAAAGTTAAACTACTAAATTATGATAAATTAGGCTAGTTATATAGAGGGTAACTTATTTAAGATTATAATCAATCTGTAGGAATGAACACATAAATAAAATGTAATAGCTCATATTAGAAACTTTAAGAATTTGATAAAATCTTATTTTTTCTTTGCTATTTTTAATTTTAAGCTTTCTTGTCCCTACTCAAAGTGATCAGAATATTTTCCAGTAAACAGAGAAATAGAGCATACTATAGTGCCTGACATTCTGTAGGAACTATATAAATATTTATGGCGAGAATAAAAATTTTTATAGTTTGAACTTCAGCTGAGCTAGTTTCTATACCTGCTAGTGTGCCACTTGGGAAATTGTGGATGGCAAATTTTGCTTTAACAAAGGTTTTAGGGTAGACTATTTCAAAATTTTCATAATGCTAGAATTAGTAAATTCGGCTAATCCTAAGAGCCTAAAGGGTGCAACAAGAAAGGAAAGTTTTGCTAAAACTGAAAAATAATCTCTTAAGAAAAAGTTAGCAAGATTGCATCATGCTTACCTAAACTGCTTTGGAGTGTTATTTTCTATGTTATTGCCTCTGGAGAGCCATTCCTGAAGTAATCGTTGCACCAGGAATAAATTTCCTGGTTAGAGTTAGATCAATGAAAAAAATAGAATCGAATTCACTCTTGCAAATGTTGAGTGTCAATAGATTTTTTTTACCAAATATGTTGAAAGGGCAATAAATTCAGAGAATTAGGACAAAGTGACTACCTACTTCTGGAATTGGGAACTAGGTGTGTATTTTTAGAACTTTTCAAACATCTTTTTATACTTATATTTATGTAAAATTTTAGATACCTTCTCTTCAGTCATGCTTTTAAGGATTTGGTGTGTGGTTTGTAAATTAAGATGTACAAACTTAATCCCACTAACCAGTTCATAAACTTCTCATTAGTTTTAATAGAAGAAACTAAGGTATTTCCACAGAAAAATAAAGTACGAAAAGAGATGTTTGAAATGATTTTGAAACTTGTTTATTTGTTTTTAGTTCTGGTATCAAACAACTATAGCCTAGATTGTAGTTCATCTTCTGTAGACGTGCCATAATCTATAGGATGTCTAAAAACCAAGCTTATTTTTGTGCTAGTACAACCTTTATTTAAATTTATGTTGGTTTTTCCTAGTTACATTCTTTTTATTTTATCATTTTATCTGCCTACTTCCTCAAATTGACACACATGCTCATGATTGGCAAATGACAAAAGTTATTGTAAATTTAACTCCCTGGTAGATTCTGGAATGATAGTCTTAACATTAAATTGAAAGAAAGTGAAGTCTCAGGAGGTGGCCAGTGTGTAGGCAACTTGTTTTGGGATGGGGGTTGATTATCTTTTCATCTACTCATGGGCTTTCCAAGGCTGTTGATCTTTATGGAAGCAAATTGTCAAATATTTCTCCCTGGGTGTGGCTGGTGCCTTCAAACCTCCAACTTTTCAGTTAGCAGCGGTCACCGTGCCACCAGAGCTCCCCTTTTTATCCACTACTGGAAAATAAATCTTTTTGTTTGTTTGTTTTAAAGTGCCTTTAAAAGAAATTAACAAATAATGAAATAAGTGTTGAGTGTATTTTCCACTAGAATCTGGTGTTCCTTATATAAGGGGGCTTCAAAAGTTTGGACAAAAATGGAATAATTGAAAGATAATAGAATTTTTCCATGAACTGCCTGCACTCCACACCCCCTGCCAACTCCCCCCCCACCCCACCCCCACATCCTTAAATTTAGTAACCTAATGGAAATCATTCATTCATTTAAAAAAAAGTTTACTCAGGGCAAAGGAGTTAGCAATGCTCCAGACAGAAAAGTTTTGTATTCCCTTAGAATTTATACTAGAATTATTGAGAAAGCAGACATATAAGTAAATGCAAGTCAAACCAGAAATTCATAAGGAAATATGATAGAGTGATGAGGGCCAGGTGAAAGTGATTTGGGGAATGCCTCTGTAAGGACATGACATTTGCTTCAAAACTTGTCTAATGGAAATAGTTTATACAAAGATCTCTCTCACTGCTGTCCAATCAGTGCTGACTCAGCAATCCTCTGTGGGTTTCTGTGACTGTAATTGTTTATGGGAGTAGAAAGCCCAGTCTTTCTCCCATGGAGCTGCTGGTGGTTTCAAACTGCTGACCACGTGGCTCACAGCCTAACACATAACCACTATGCTACCAGGGCTTTTGCATACAAATATATGTGAGAGAAGATTTTCCATGTGGTGTAAATGTAAAACCCTAGGCATGAATAAGTTTGCCAGGCTTCAGGCACAGAAAGAAGGACCCTGGAGTGCAGTAAGCAGGATATTGAGTCACTAAGAGGCAGGTGCCAGATCCTGTAAGGCCATGATAAGGAACTTTCATCTTGCTCTTATTTGTGGGAAATAGATGGAAACATTTATATAAGCTGTCTCTGTGATCTGCTTTTTGTTTTACATATTTTTAAAATATTACTTTGCGGTATGGAAACTACATTGACAAAATATAAGGACACAGATCATTTAAGCTGTTGCAAAAAATCAGGCAAGTTCTGCTGATGACTTTTGCTAAAGTAATATGAGTAAATATGGACAGAAATGAACAGATCTGGCGGTGGCATCTTAGAGTAGAAAGGAATAGATAGATTAGATATGGGAGTAAATGACTTAGGTTTTTGGTTTGAGTAACTGACTGGCTTGTGATACCTGTACAAGAGATTGTGAATACAGAAGAAGAAAGACTTTGAGGTGGGGGGGTGGCAGGGGGCAGCGGGGAGCCGGGGTTTAGTCTGGGTAAACTAGAGAAATAAATCCATAGACACTCATGTGTATGAGAAAGAGCTTTATATATAAGAGCAATTGAATATTGAGAAAACATCCCAGCCCAGTCCAGATCAAGTCCTTAAGTCCGATATTAGCCCATATGCCTGATACCAATCTATAAAGTCCTCTTCAGACTCACTTAACACATAAAATGACACTGAATGCAGGAATATCACAGACCAGTGGGTCGGAGGTCTTGTGGATTCAGTGGTGTTGTAAGCATCTCAACACAGGTAGGGGTCTCCATGTAGTTGCTTCAGCTCTGAGGCTCTGACTGCATCAGAGTAGGTCTACATGCCCTCTCAGGGGTTTCTCACAGGGAGTCCAAGCAGAGTGTCTCCCACCTCCAAGGAGGAATAGAGGAGTTCCCAGAATCCTCAGCAGAAGGCCATGCCCACAAAGAGACCTCATTGGCTATCACCTGATTGACAGGCAAAACTCTACCCCTTCACTCATAATCCTCTCAAATAAACAAACGATTATATAACTACCACAGGGGTGTGTGGGGGGAGATGACAGCAATGGCTTTGTTTGGTCATATTTCATCTGAATTGGTGCTTTTTATTCATGTGGACTATCAAATAATTAAGTAAACTTAAATGACTGCAAATTTTCCAAGGGAAAAATTCATGGGGGGTGGGAACCAAACTAGATTCTTTGTCCAGGAATTTGGCCAATAAAGCGAAATATACCTGTACAGTTCTCATATTTAAAAAAAATTAAGCCTTGGGAAAGAGAAATCACAAAAACAAGATTCTAATTTGTGACAACCCATTGTGTTAATTAGTTAGGCAACTGAATTGTTTTTGTTAGTTACCCTAAAGTTGATTCTAATTCATGGCAACCCTCCATCTATAAAATAGAACTCCCTAGGGTTTTCAAAGCTGTGATCTCTAGGACTGGCTTCCTATTTTTCCTAAAATAGCTATTTTCTACATGAGATTAAACTTGTTTCCTAGAAGTCTATCTTTTCATATTAAGTAGGATTCGCCCTTGTAAATTAGTTATTCAAATAAAGAATGATATTTTATTTTATAAATACAAATGATTCTTTTTATCAAAGTAAGATAGAACTTTTTTTGGTAATCATTTTTTGGGGAGTTCTTTTAAAGACAGTTGATATTCAATAATAGGTAGGTTGAAGTTAGCTCTTGATCTTCAGAAGTATTCAAAGCAGTTGCCTTTGTGACTAGCTCATGGCACCGTGTATGTGTCAGATTAGAATGGTCATGTGTCCGTAGAACTTGTTCATAGAGTTTTCTGTCCCTGCTCTTTGAGAAGTACATGTCCAGTGCCTTGTCTCAAAACTCCTGTCTTTCTAGCTGAGTCGCTTAGCCATTTGCTTAGAAGTTTTTAAAGTGGAGCCTTCTAGTGGGTATGTATTGATTGTGGGGTGGGTCCATAAACCTGTGAAATTGTTTTGTTTTCAATTTTTGCATATTTTGGCACTTTCCTCTGGGAGGTGATTAGTGACTTACCAGATATGTCTCAAATAAATTTAAGTCCCTGTCCTATCTAATAAGTATACAGAGTAAATTAAAATCTTTTTTCTTTTTTTAAGTAACAACAATAGGGGCAAAAACAAAACAAAATAATGATTTGGGGTGGCAAGAAAATGAATAAAAACCCATTTTTTAAAAATTCACGATGAGTTTTAGGGGCACAAATAATTTCTAAAAGTGCTACCTGTAGTATATTTATGACCATTTCTTTGTAATATTATCAATGAATACATTTAACTTGTACAGAATAAAAAAATTACTGAGCTCTTTTATTAATATATTGAAGTAGACTGGTTTCTTGATAATGAGGTTAAGAAACTGATGTCAGGAAGGAGTTTTCATTACCTCTTAAGTGCCTGACCTAGATGGTCTTCAAGGAAGACTTTTCCTCGATTGTGATAGTGAACTTCACTTAGGCAAAACTTCAGTTAATCTTATACCACAGTCACAATGTTTATCTGCCAAAACTCTTAAAGAATATATTTTATTACCAGTTACATAGTCAAGAAGTACTCCATGTAGATTCCTGTTGTTATTCTTGTTGTTGTTTAGGTTGACACATGGAGTATGCCAAATACAGGCTTGACTTGAAAATCTGGTTTTAGTCTATTTCTTCAAATTAATTGTTTATTTTGCCAGATGAATGGAAGAACTATACAAAAATAGTCAGATGACTAGAAAAGTAGTTGAAAGATTTCTTAAAGCTCCCTCAATCTCTTTATCTAGGCAACCCTTAGGTGTCACATGGCCCTCTAGTGGAAGGGATGCTCAGCTGGACCGAGGCAACTTCAGGATATTCTCGGGGAGTTATTACCAAAAGGGATTGCTTTTATTCAGGTAATTTTTATAGTTTGGATTAATGAGCTGGTTCTGATGACTTAGGTCTGGAATTTTGGACTAGGAAAGGCACTATGTTATAGTGCATATACATATTTTTGGCAGACTCTGCTAAATTAACACATTCCCTCTTAAATATCATTGATGTTTTTATGAAAGGATTTCTTGGGCTTTTTGCTTTGTTTTCATTGTTTTGTTATAGTTGTTGCTGTTGGTGGTGGTATCTTTTTATTCATCTGTTATTTTTACTTAAATTTTAAATATAAACTGTACTTTACCTTTAATAAGGAATCATCCCTCCTAAGTAAGGCACTGAAGGCTCCTTACTCTTTTTTTCATCCAATCTTGGAAAATAAAATTTCAATGTTTTCTTTTTAAAATAATTTTGAATAATGTATTTACATTTCCTGAAATTTTGACAAACAATAAGTTATACTTTTTTTTAATTTAAATAAGTATATAAATTGTGGAGAACACCAATAGACATGTAGGTGTCTGGCCAATTTGCAAAAGGAAAGACGATCTTAAATCTGTAAAGGCAAAAAGAAATACAAGTCTAGACTTGTAGGTAATTATTTGTCACTTCCTTTCATCTATTTTAGTCCTGTTCACTGATTTGACGTCCTTGGTCATTTTTTTCTCAGGCCTAAAGAGAGTTTCATAACTTGAGCTTCACTATTTTCTATTACTTCTTCTATTTCTGTGGAAATTTCTGAAAGGGTGAATAAATAGGATATAGGTCAAGAGTGCCAGTCTGAAAGTGGTAGAAATAGAAGTTGACTTTTCTTTGTCTGCTCTAGTCTCTTAAGACTTTTTCTTCTTTTTAAGACTCTTATCATCACTGAAATCAAACATTTTCTAGCAGGTTAGTATTATAGCACAGTGTTTTATAGCAATTACTGTTACTTAAATCTGTAAAGAGTATAACTGAAGATAAATTTAGTGATAGCCTCTGATCCAGCAAGTACTAAAATACCTACTTTTTGATTTGCTATCTAATATGATTCAAAATTTTAAACAAAAGTAGAATATATAAAACAGGAGTAAAGTATATTTTGATTTTTTTGAATTGAAAATTATAAGTCGTTTGTAATGATTTATATTAGAGGAACTGATCACTTGTTCAGTGTCAAAAGAGTAATGTTAGTAAATTAATTCTGTGGTCTTAATTTTATTTTGTAGAAGTGCTTTAAGTACAATATTGTGCATTTTCTTTTGTTTTAAATGTGAGTTTCTACTAATATTCTCAGAGTGAATCAGCACTTGATTTAGCAAAGCAGAGAAAAAATATATGGATGATCAACCATTTACAAGAGGCAAGGCAAGCAAAAGGATACGACAACCCATCTTTCCTTAGAAAGCTAAAAGCTGATAAGGTAAATCCATAACTCAAGACTTTCAATGTGCAAGCAGTTCCTGAGTTGCCAATGTCCAGCTTACTGACAGCTCCTACTTCCCTTTTAAACTGGTTCTGTAACAGCCAACAAAGCAGAACAAGGACAGACTCCAGGTTTTATAATTTGGCAGATTCACCATGGTTTCCGGCTGGGGAAAATAAGGGGTTGAAGCCCTGGAACGGGATACTGGGAAGAAGCATAGTGAACACTTTCAGGAGCCTGATATGTGAGGTTGGAGTTTTAGCAGGACCGGTAGGAGAGCAACATATATTCAAAACTGTGATTGGCCACCATCTGTGAGTGGAGCGAGACGATGTCTGAGTAAGACAGCCCTGCTTCAGTCTGTTCAGTCTTAGAATCCGTGGGTGAGAGATTTGGTTGTTATGCAACACATACACTGCCCTTTTGTAAGAGCGTGATTAAGTTTTAATCAAGGTTTCTACCCATAATTTTTCTCATTAAGAGTATTTCTAACTTAACTTTAACTTTAAATATTTGTGTCTGGTTTCAGTACCACTTCCTTCTCCTTGAGTAAACCAGGAAGAACTGGTTCAAAGCCCTGACAAATTCTTAAAGATACAATTAAGAGCAGATCATCTTTAGGATCCAGAGACTGGCAGTATAACCATTTTTAAAAAATAGACTATAAAAATTGCATACAGTATATACACCACAGCATTTGCCAAGTTAGCATTTTTTTGTGTTTATGATTGAGTGACACCAATTAAATTTGTCGTGTTTTACCACCATCATCAGTATCACTGTCCCGGACACATTTTAGTGCCTCATGTTTGTTGCCTAGATATATTTTATTGCTAATTCCAAAAATGGCACCAGTTTTCCCCCATCAACTCCAGTTTTTGAGATACATAATATATACCACTTTTCATTCTCCTTTGCCCATAATAAATTAGTGTAGCTTAATGTAGTATTAGCTAACCTGAGATAGAGGAAATCATAGCTTTATTTCAAGTATTTTTGTCAAGTTATACTTAGGTCAGGTTATACTTTACATGGTGTCTGTGATCCGAAGATATATTTGAACGGTACAAATTACACGAATTTAGACTTTTCCCCAAGAATCATTTCATTCTTATAGGAACTGAATAGCAGGCATATCCAATTTGATGTTTTAAAAAGGGGGCCAGAAAGAAGAGTTTCTGTACAATAAATGAGCCTTGATGGCGTAGGGGTTATGTGCTTGACTGCTAACCACAGGTCCTCTATTCGAGCCTACCAGCTGCTCTGCAAGAGAAAAATAAGACTCTGCTCTTAGAAAGATTTATAACCGCAGAAACCCACAGGAGAAGTTCCATTCTGTTGTACAATTGGCTGACTGGTATGGTCGCGAATTTGATAGAATCAATAGAGTTTCAAATGTTCTGATGCCCAAAATGGGTCTATCAGAATTGAAACTCCTTTCTTAAAATGAAAATGTTCCAGTATTGTTATAAGATGGCACAAATTTTCTACCTGTGCACAGAAACCCTTAAAAATTAGAATTTTTCTTATAAAAAAGCTTGGCATCAACCTCACCTCTGAGACATTTTATATAAATTATCCTTTACTTTTACATATTAAAATGTGTTTTGAAATGTTTACTGGATAATTTGTATAAGAAAAATTTAGATCCTCAATATTTATGAAAATTTTCAACACTAAATTGCCCTCTCACCTTTCATATCTATCTTCTTAAGTTCTGACTTGCAGTATCCATAGTGACCCGCAGGATTGAGAAGAACAAACCCAAAGGTTTGGGGTTTCCAAACCTTTCAGTTTTTTAAAGGGTGCAATGACTGCTGGGTTCAAACCATTGAATTCATAATTGGCAGCTCAGTGTACAATGAATGAGCTATGTACAGGTCTATAGCCAGCTTCCCTTGGAAGTCCTATTTCTTTTTCAAATAGTTCTTACCATTTTTGCCTTATCCTATAACTTGTGGGTCTGAATTCTTGTATTTAAAACAATGATTAATTAATTAATATAACTTAATAGCTAAAAAATAGTTGAATACCATGTCTAAGAAAGTAGGACGATTCTGTCTATCCAATGCAGTGTTCTGCATCAGCTCCCCAAATAACCCTAGGAATGGGCTTAAAAACCAAGGCACCAAGAAAAAAAATAATTTTGTTGTTCTCTGTATCCATTGCCAAGCTACATAATAGATATGAGGTGGCTTCAAAGAGTTTTGAATTAATAAAGGAATTTTCCCAAGAACTCTTTGTAGTCCGCCTTATAATAAGGTGACCAGACGTCCCGCTTTTAGTGGGACAGTCCCGATTTTTAACAATTTTCCCCACGTCCCATAGCGTTTTTAAAAAGTCCTGATTAAGGGAAAGAATGCACGACAAGCTAGGGTATACGGTTTTCGACTGCCATGTGGCTATTTCGCCAGGATATGAGTTTTATCAATGGTGTCCCGCTTTACCAATGTTCAAATCTGGTCACCTTACTTTATAATAATTTAAAGTTAGATTTAACATATAATAAAATTAGTGCAGACAGTAGAGTTTTTCAGGTTTTTAAAAAAGGGAAGTGTGAAATTATAGTTTCCTAGGTTACTAGTGAAATTTTACTTCATTCAGCCGAACATGTTTAAGTAATAAATTAAAATGTAGTTTTTTCCTGTAATAAGAATTTGTTAATGTGTTAATAAATTGTGAAAAATCTTCACTCTATAGATAATTTTTGGCTACTTAAACTGACTAATTTATTTTGCTTTCCATTGTTTTATAATATAACTTTTAAATAGATGGTCTTTGTAGAACAGTTATTTATAAAAAACTTGTGCAAAATGTACAGAGTTCTATATATTCTCATTTCCCTGCAGTGTTTCTTAATATTCTACATTTGTGTGGTACTCTATTATACTTGATTAATATTGATATATTATTAACTCTTCACAGTAGTCCATACTTTTTATTAGGACTTAGACTTTGTAGTACACAATCCTATGAGTTTTGGCTGAATCCTGCTGGTGTAGTGGGTTGCCCGTGGGCTACTACCCACAAGATTAGTAGTTTTGAACTACCATCTGCTCTGAGGGAGAAAGATACAGCTTTCTACTCCAGGAAGAATTGACATTCTAGGAAACCTATAGGGCCAATTTAAATCTGCCCTATAGAGTTGCTGTGAAACCTATAGGGACAATTTTACTATGCCCTACAGGGTTGCAATGGACAACCATAGCAGTGCGTTTGAGTTTTGATGGATTCTGGCAAATACATAATGTCGTGTTTCTACCATTACAGTATCATTCAAAATAATCCCACTCACCCCCCAAAAAGATGCACCATGCTTCACTTACACATCCTTCTTCCATCCTCTTCCTTCAGGAAGAACAAAAACTATGGAAAACCTATGTTAGATTTTACATATATTTTCAGTTTTAAACTATGTGACCACTGACATAGTTGCCTTGACACTAGTAGTATGATTCAGAACTAAAACTTTTCCATGAAAGAGCACTGTAGATTCTTCAGAAAATTTCCATGATAAAAAGAAAAAGCCGATGATTGGACAGTTCCTTTTTACATCTAATAACTGACAAGGTATCTACTAACATTTAATAATCACAGCTGGTTGGAATTACACCTTGACTGCCAGTTTTGTATATATGTATGTGGTGGCGTAGTGGTTATAAGTTGGGCTGTAATCCACAAGATCAGCAGTTGGAAACCGTAGCCACTCTGGAGAAGTAAGGTGGTTTTCTTCTACCGTTCCAAGTTAACAGTGTTCGAAACTCACAGGGGCACTTCTGTTCTGTAGAGTCACTGTGAGTCCGCATCCACGTGATGGCAGTGAGTTTAGTTTCTTGGTTTTGAAATTAATGCTACAGTACAGCAGTTACTTTTTAAAGTTTTCTGTTATCACTATGTTGAGTGAAAAAAAATCCCTTAAGGTTATATGCTATATGATTTCATTTATATATTATCTTTGAAATGATAAAATTATAGAAATGGAGAAAAAGCCAGTGGCTGTCCTTAGTAGTGAAGGAAGGGGTAGGGGCAGGCGGAAAGTTGACTGTAAAGGTTAACATATAGTAATGATGGAAATGTTCTGAACCTTGTCTGTATCAATGTCAGTATCCTGGATTGATACTGTACTACTGTTTTACAAGGTATTGCCATCGGAGGAACTTGGATAAAGCATACAAACCTACTCAAGATCTCTCAGTATTACTTACAACTATATGTGAATCTGTACTTAGTTCAAAACAAAAAGTGTAATTAGGAAATTGATTACCGAATGGCAGAATCTAGCTAATGGATTCACCAGGTTGTTGTTGTTGTTTTTAATTAATTTCTCCCAGAAATCGCACTCTTAAATACATCCACTAAGGAAAATGAACTTCTGTTCACATGAAAACTTATAGATGTGTCTATAATGGCTTTATTCATAAGTACCCCAAACTGGAAAGAACCCAGTCTCTCATCTAGGGAATGGATAAACAAGTTGCTACACCCATGTAATGGAATACTCAATATGAAAAACAAATAATCTACGTAAAAATGACATAGACTAATGTGAAAAGTATTGTGTAAATGCTTGACTAGTTCCTGAAAGGTAGTTAGTTCAACCTACCCAGAGATACTTAGGAAGACAAGCTTGAAGACCTTAGTCCTCAAAGTAACATCCTTGTTTTTCAAATATTCTAAGATGCCTGTGTAGCAGATTTGCTCAATGCAGTGATTCTTTTGATCTCTTGACTGCTGCTTCCATGAGCATTGATTGTGGACCCAAACAAGACAAAAACATCTTTGACAACTTCAACCTTTTCTCCATTTACCACGATGTCACCCTATTATTGGTCTCGTTATGAGGATTTGAGTCTTTTTACATTGAGTTGTAATGCACACTGAATGCTGGAATCCTTGATCTTGATCAGCAAGTGTTTAAAGACGTCCTCACTTTCGGCAGGCATGGTTGTGCCATCTGCATTTATCGGGTTGTTAATAAACTTTCCGCGAATCCTGGTGCTGCTGTTTTACTGCAGGATAAAATTAAGCTCTGAAATGGACATTTATTAGTCTAAATTAAAGTTAGATATATATGTCAGAAAATGATTTACTGTGCTTAAATTGGGAGAGACAGGACCCATTATTTCACTAGAACCCAACAATATAAAGGAGGTGCTAAAAATACAATATAATCTTAGTCTCCAGGAAGATAAATATTCAGATCAATCGGGAAAGTAATATTTCCATTCTGAGCTTTGTTGAAATATTTTATCACTTACGGTACAGCAAGTTTGTGAAGGGCTGTTATATGGAAGAGGCAAGAGGATTCTTTTCTGTTACTCTGAAGATAGAACTTTTTATCAACTAGGCAAGTATAGGAATGAAATGAGCCACTCCCTGGAGTATTAAGCACCCTGCTATAATAGTTGCTCAAAGTTACAGATCTCTATTCTGTATGCTCTGGGACCCTGCGGATGGATTTAAGATGAATATCTATGTACTATTTATATGTAGCATTTAAAATATGTTCTCAGTACCATTACTCATTCTCTGTGTTAACCTTTCTGGTAATCAGAAATGGTGTGGTATTTGTCATTGAATGTTGTTTTCGAGCCAGGCCATGTGTTAAAGGGGTATTAATATAAAACCCCGACCATTAATGTCTATTCTCGTCTTTCACAGTTTTCACACTTGTTTATTGTCTGTCTCTGGAAGACACGGGCCAGCCCCTTGAACACTTGCTGGCACATAGTTGGCATATTTGAATGAATGGATTTTACCCTCCGTTGTATGTTTTCACAAAGGCAGCGGTGGTTCACATTGTAGTTACTTTAAGCACACAAACTTTCTGATTAATCTTTTTGTTTCTGTACAGGAATTTCGTCAGAAGGTTATGCTCGGAACTCCTTTTCTAGTTATTTGGCTGGTTGGGTTTATAGCAGACCTAAATATTGATTCTTGGCTCATTAAAGGGCTAATGTATGGTGGTGTTTGGGCTACAGTACAATTTCTTTCAAAGTAAGTGTGCTGTTTCTAACTACATTTTTAACTGTATATAAAAGAACATAATTTGTACCCTGCTAGGATAAAAACTAATTTTTCATGTTTAGGTCACTGCCTTTATGTAGCATGATTGCTCTTTAAAAGCTTTTGATTAGTTAATATGTGAAGTCTTTAATAGTTCTTAATATTATTTATGTGGTTCTTTAAAGTTACTGTCCATGATAAAAGTCTAACATACTGTTTTTAAGGATAGAATACGTTTTTAGAAAGATTCAAAACGTTTTTAATGGACATTAACTTGGATTTGATGAATTTTAAATGTAGCTTATTTGTAGGCGTAGTAATTATAATACAATACTTGAATTCCCCTTAACTGTTGTGTATGATCTTTTCTTTGGTCAGAAACAATAGAGCAAGGAAGAACTTTGGTTTTAAGTGACACGCCAGAGTATAAGCTCAGTTTTTCCATTTTCTTCTTTCCCTTTCTCCTGTAAATGTTGTTGTCATGCCCATTTTCCTTCTTCCCCTTCAACCTCTGGCCCTAAACCCTCTCTATTCAGCACACTTAGGTTCCTCAGATCAGAACTTTCCACACAATTTTTATTCCTTTTGCACTTTATTAGTATTTGAGTTTCAAAAACCAGGTCTGAAAGTATTCCATGAAGAGGTGAGGAGGACTAGTAACCCTCTGGTGTGTTCATTCTGAAGACGGAGCTTCTTCTGGACTATCCGTCTCAATTTGGTCAGCCTTACAGCTCCGCTATCAGCAGGGATACCTGGGTAGCTTCCATGGTTGATCCTGCTATGTAATCGAATTTATTAATATGTATTTTGCGTTAATTATAAGGTCGTTAAAAACACTTTCAGTTCCACTAAATTCGTTTATTCCATTTGAAAACGTGCCTAAGACTTTACTGGAAGTGTGTATTTAAGAAATAATAATAATGAAATATAGAGAAACTCAGTGATTGTTTTTTACAATGTGTTGCTTTTGATATGGCAAAATTTTGGTACCTCTTTGGTGAATAATATGAACAATAAAGTTACTATGTTTAAAGTAAATTCTTGATTTTCAGAATCTAGTATATGGGAATTCATAAGTGCTTGGAATATAATTAAAATTTTAGTGAATTGGAAAGAGTTTCAGAATCTTGTTGAGCCATTTAGCAATGAATTTACTTGTTATTACTATGAAAATAGTATCAGTATGTAACATCCTAGATTCTGTTTAAGCCAATGAATGCATATGTAGAACACATGTAATTTCAATTTAAATGAATAAATAATTTTTCCCAATGAAATAGAGAATTCAAACTAAAAAATTTGTGTTTTACAGATCCTTTTTTGATCATTCAATGCATAGTGCATTGCCCCTTGGAATATATTTGGCAACCAAATTCTGGATGTATGTGACGTGGTTTTTCTGGTTTTGGAATGATATCCTTTGATTAAAAAGGTCATATCGAGAGCAATTTTGTTATTTCTTAGGATTGAACTAATTTTGATTTGTTATAGTAAAACTATTTCTAAATGTGAACTAATCCAAATATGGTTTTTAAATTTTAATACTAATTGGTTGCTTTGAAAACTGCTTTAATAACAATAATGCTTATGGCAATAGCATTTAAAGTACATTTTCTTTGCACATTTA